TTCTTTTCCAATTTCTCCACCCGATCGCCCTGAGTAACCCCCTTCGTCATTCTCTTCTCACCTAGACCGTGGATGCGCTCTGATACCAAACTGTTGGGCTCCGAGTACCTGCAACACGAATTCACACACAACAACACAAGAACACCACAGATAGACTACTGAAGGATCCTCAACCAAAGGATCCAATTCATTAATCGTCCCTGGAACAACCACGAGCTCAGCTCGGCCAAGAATACAAAAATGGTAAAAACAATATTCTCTCAACGTGTCTCTCTCTCTCTCCGATTCCCCCTTAAGAACCCCTCAATCCGTTGTAACCTCCCTACTCTCTACCTCCTCCCTAGCCACTATCCCCTAGCCTAGCCTACCTGCCTATAATCCAGCTCAGCAACTACCTCACGCACTCACATCCCTTCCCCAACCGAAGACGTTGCGAGCTCCTCTAGAATACATCCGTTCATATTTATTCTTCCTAGGCTCGGGTGTAACAATGTGGAGTTCGCGGAGCAGCTAAGAATTAACTGAGGCGATTAACCGAATAACTGAGATCAAGCCTGGTAATGGTGAGATAAATCAACTTGCCAATCAGCCGTCTGTAACTGGTAGGGTCAGTGAGCATTTCGCCATCCGAAGCGGATAATTTGAGGTTCGGTTCCATAGGAACAGAAGCCGGTTTACACCCCAAATACCATGGATCAGAGAGCAATTCCAGTGCATATTTCCGTTGGCAGATAGATATTCCAGTACTGGAACGAGCAACTTCAAGACCCAAAAACTATCGTAGAGCACCCAAATCTTTCATCTTAAATCGTTTGCTCAATGTTAACTTAAGAGCATCCACTAATTCTTGATCATTGCTAGCAATGATAATATCATTGACATATACCAAGAGTACCAAAAAGGAATGCCCACAAGCTTTGATGAATGAAGAATGGTCACAGGCGGATTGAGTAAAACCTTTCGAAATCAAAACAGTAGAAAACTTATGAAACCATTGTCGAGATGCTTGTCGCAGCCCATATAAAGACTTATGAAGCCTACAAACAGCATTGGAAGGTAAGGTCTCCCCCTTGCGACGAGCGTAACTAGGAGGCAAAGCCATATAGATCTCTTCAGTAAGGTCACCATGAAGAAATGCATTGGTGACATCAAGTTAGGTAAGAGACCAACCCGAAACAGCAGCTAACGAAAGCAAAACTTTAACAGTAACAATTTTGGCAACAGGGGAAAAGGTGTCAAGGAAGTCAATACCTTCTTGTTGCGTAAACCCTTTGGCCACAAGACGGGCTTTATAACGATCCACAGTACCATCTGCATGAAATTTAGACCCATTTACATCCCACGGAATGCTTACCAGGAGGTAGCGAGACAATGGACCATGTCCCATTTCTTCCAAAGCCTGCAGCTCCATATTCATGGCATCACGCCACAACGGATTCTTAATGGCGTGGGAAAATGACTTAGGTTCCGTGTGTGAGGAAATAGTCAAGATAAAGTGACGGAATGGTGAAGAAAGCTTGTGATAGCTAAGAAAGGAAGAGAGAGGATATGGAGTTGAGGTGGAGGAGGAGACTGCCGAAGCAGGGGAATCATGAGTGGCGAGATAACAATGGTAATCTGACAAATAAGAGGGTGGTTTTATAATGCGACGAGGACAGGATGAAGTGATAGAATGATCAAGGGCAGGAGTTGATATAGGGCCATAGGGAGCAGAAGTAGGCACGAATGGAGCACTAGGATACTCGGATGGAGTAGAGATAGGAGTGGGAAGGACACGATGACTAAAGAAGTCATGAAGGACAGATGGTGGTTGAGAGTTGACGAAAGGAAAGATGGTTTCATGAAACTGCACATTCCGGGATATGTAGATTTTATTGCTTTCCAAATCAAGAAGTTTGTATCATTTGTATCCGAAGGGATAGCCAAGGAACACAGAGCTTCAAGCCCGAGGAGTGAATTTAGTGCGATGACGAGGAAGAGTTGAACCATAACAAAGACAACCGAATGTACGTAAATGAGCATAAGAAGGCTTTTTGTGATTTAAAAGTTCAAAAGGTGTCTTGTTGGACAACAAGGGTGAGGGAGTGCGATTAATTAAATAGACCGTTGTCATAACACAATCACCCCAATAACAAAGTGGGACATAAGAATGAAAAAAAAGGGCGCGTGCCACATTAAGGATATGTTGATGTTTGCGTTCAACAACGGAATTTTGTTCCGGTGTGTCAACACAAGAATGATAAGGAAGGATGCCTTTAGAGCGGAAAAAATCAGTGAAAGCTAACTCAGGGGCATTATCAGAATGGATAGATTTTATAGGAGCGCCATATTGAGTTTGAATAAGGGTGTAAAAATTTGGAAAAATGGGCACATCAGATTTTGCATGCAAAAGGTAAACCCAAGTAGCTCTAGTGTAATCATCAACAATAGTGAGGAAATATTGATGCCCAAAGGTAGTTGCAACATGAAAAAAGCCCCAAATATCAATACGTATCAAATCAAAGGGCTTATCAGACATATGGTTATGCGAAATAAACGGAAGTCGTTTTTGTTTAGCCATGTGATAGATGCGACAATGAGGTGAAAAATTTGAAAGAGAACCATGAATTTGTAATTCATTATGAAGCATTTGAAGTTTTACAGGAGATGAATGTCCTAGGCGAAAATGCCATACATCATGCTTTGACAATACAGAACAAGAAAACATGGAATTACAAATTGGAGCTCCTAGTTCTAAAAAGTAAAGATTGTTGTGTCTGCTACCCCTCCCAATTGTCAAGCCCCGAGTAAGGTCCTGAATGATACAAGAAGCGGAAGAAAACTTAACACGACAGGAATGGCTGAGGGTAAGAGCACTCACACTGAGAAGATTAAAAGAGAACAGGGGAACAAATAAGACATTGTGCAGAATCAAGGAATCAGATAAAGGAACAGTACCAATTCGAGTAATATCAACAGTTTGACTATTAGGAAGGGTGATTGTAGTGTGGTGAATTATTTTTGAGTGAGAAAAGAGAGAGAGAGAGCAACATACATGGTGTGTGGCACTAGAATCAATAACCCAAGTTTGGGGCGGAACAGATGGATGCGAAAGAGAAAGAACAGTGGAGAGATTACCATTGACATGGGACACAGAAGGATCCATAGCCGATTGAGATCCAGATGTGGAGGCACCACGAAGCTGAAGTTGCGAGCTGAGGTAGGCAATGAGTTGCTGAACCTGATCAGTGGAGAGCTGGTCAGACGGAGGAGAGAAAGTTGTTGCTGTAGCAGCGGTAGAAGCAGAGGTAGTGAGGCGAGAAGTCTCACATCATTGAATGGAGCTTTGGTGGGCTTGGGCCTTGGGCTTGGGCCTTAGGCTTGGGCTTGTAACCAGGTGGGAAACCATGAAGTTTGTAGCACTGATCCACAGAATGGCCCGTTAGTCCACAATGAAAGTAGATCGGACGGTCACGTTTGGGCTGAGACTGAGAAGATGAAACCGCCGCAACAGGAACATTTGGAGTCGGAAGAAGGGGTGGTTGTGATGAAGGGACGCTGAAGGCCAAAGAATCCCTTGGAGCAGTGGGAATGGAACTGATGGTGCCTTGTCGTTCCTCCTAAACGACCAGATTGAACACCTTTGCAACAGAGGGCAAAGGATCCAGCATTAGGATCTGGCCTCTTGTCCCAGAATATGAGTCATTGAGACCCATGAGAAATTGCATCACATGCTCTTGTTGTTGATAATCCATCCATGCCTTCATACCTCCACATTGACAAATGGGAACGGGTTGAAAATTCTTAAGTTCATCCCAAAGAATTTTCAGCCGAGTGAAATAAGTGTTGAGATCCGGAGAGGCCTGTGAGAGATCATGAAGCTGTTGTTTGATCTGAAAAATGCGTGGAGCATTACTCTGACGAAATCGTTCGTGGAGATCGGCCCAAACTGCGTGAGCGCTGTCAAGGTAAAGGAGACTGTCAGCAATCTATTTGGAGACGGCATTAAGCAACCAAGAGGTCACCATACTGTTGCACTGAGACCAAATACCAGCGGTGGGATCAACAAAGGCGGGCTGCTGAAGAGAACCATGAACAAATCCGAGCTTATTTTTGGCATTGAGTGCCATAAGCATGGCACGGCTCCAGGTATTGTAGTTCGGACCAGTGAGTATATGAGAGACGAGAGTTAATCCTGGGTGATCGCCACTGTGAAGAAGAAAAGGGCTATTGATGTTATCCATGGCGGCTGGATTTGGAATGGATTGGGTAGTAGGAGAAGAAGTAGGGGTGAGAGGCTAAAATCGATTTGTGTTATTATTGTTATTCTGGCCACCACGAGCCATGGGTCAGAAGGAAGGAGAAGAAATGAGTCAGAAGAGAGAAGAAGAAAGAGCAGATGATTAAATCTCTGATACCATATTAGAAGAATGAAAGAGAAATGAAGAAGAATAAGAAACTATCTTTCATTACTCAAGAAGAGGTACAACCGAGAAAACATATATAGAGAGGCCTTGGATTTGGTTCACACAATCCTTACCTCACAAGACAGCTGGCATAACAGAAAAACAAAAAAAAGGAATATTTGAAATACATAAAATATGACAATATGCTAAAATTCTAATACATCCAAACACTTCTGCTTAAGCAGCTTTTGACTAGGAAGCCATGTCCAACAAGCCCTTTATATTGTCACTCTAGTAAGTCCTATGCTATCGATTTTGGGGGCGTAACAAAATTATTCTTCGCAATGATACCTGAGTGCCATAACTGGCGTTCATTAGTTAGTTTGTCATTGCAAAAGATAATTGCCGAGACAGCATCTACAGAACATGAATGCAAATTGGATTACACTTTCTTTTTTCTTTATAGTTACATGAGTATCAAATCATCCCTGTGCATTTAGAAAACTATTTATCTTTGATCTCATTATGTGATATGCTGCTGCATTAAATTTGAAAATGAAGATATTCTCCTAAAGCCCCTTCTTTCTAATTTTATTTGGTATTTGTATCTGTCAGAGAAAACCCTGTACAAGTTGGATCCCAAGCTGAGTTCTCCCAGTGGCTCTGTTATGTGCATAATCTCGTTAACCGAAGGTATTCTTCGTTCTTTGACCATATCGACTCAATTCGTTCAATACCTTATGCAGTGGTGGATATAAAAAGTGTGTTAAGTTGCTAAAATAGAATTTAGATCACCAGTCATTCCAATTTGCCTAGTATTTTGTCACTCGGGCAAACCAGATATCTTATAGAATTCTGTCCCCCTAGACAAACTACTTTAGTTTTTCTTGTTGCTAATGCGAGAATGCCTGCTGCAGCATTGGAAAACCGGTGTTTCCCTGTGAGCGGGTTGAGGCGAGGTGGGGCAAGGCGGAATGCGAGAACCGTGAGTGCGATGTGCTAGGAGAAACATTAGTCTTCCCTGGTGCTACAAATTAACATTATCATACTTATTCTAACCCTGTGATGGGTTTCTATAATGTTGTAATAGCCGTTTATATCGGTGATCGTACTAATCATTTTATAAATCTCATGGTGGAGGGGCATCCAAGTTAACTTTGTATGATCCATCTGTATAATTTTCTGGATAGCCAAGCTGTTTTAGTACTCGCTTTGTTGACGGAAGCAGCTTAAGACTTGTGATGATTGAAATACAATGTTTATATTTTACTCTTGCAACTGACTTAATGTTGGCAATTCCACTCGAACATAGCCAAAGTACACAACATGTATAAAATAGAAAACAGTGTTCTTAAAACATTTAGTACTGAATTTTCAGACCCCAAGAAAGTACAACACATTTCCCGTGAAAACTAGAGAGATATTAGATAGACACAAAACAAAACATGTTACTAAATGCTAAACATCATGTATAGATATTCCTTGAACCTCGGAACATTTGTCATGGTGGCATTAATGTCCGACCGCAGGATTGGTCCGGTTCAACGGTTTCCGTTCTACTTTGACCGGCCCTGGGTTAGACTGCCCTGGAAGGTGGGGCCTCGCCAAATTTGAGTAGGTAAGCCGTTTCATAGACAGGACGGAGTTGCCGGATCACTTGAGCATCTAAATAGGCGTCGCAGGAGAAGCACCAAACTGATAAATCACTGTTTTCCAAACCCCACAAGGAAAGATAACAAGACAAATAAATTCAAACCTTCCACACAGAGAGAGAGAGAGAGAGAGAGAGAGAGAATTCTAAAGAAATGGGTAATTAGATGGTTACCTGTAGCTAAGTGCCAAAGAATGACTTGTATTGTGATAATGGTTGAGCATGTGCTTGTTAACAAAACGGCTACACAGAACCTCTTTGCAGCATAAACAGAGCCAATTCTCATCTGGGTGCTCACAACTTTAAAAAAATAAATAAATAAATTTGTGATTGCTAAAAGAAGAGATGGTTCATAAGCGTCGTAAATAACTAAATATCAAAGTTGTAAGGAAAAGTTAAAAATTAAGAACTGCTTACATGTGGCAAGGAGTATCTGGTGTGGGAATGTGAGTGAGATCAAACGACAGGGAAGACAAGTGATCGCAGGAGGTACGAGCCTCTACCCAACCTGATTCACCTCCATATATCAATTCTTCTTCTCCTTCTTCTGTGGGGGGATTTTCCTGATGAATATGATTGAGAAAAGCTTATTAGAGATTAAGAAAAAACAACATGTTTGTGTATATATGTATATGTAGGTATAAAGAGGTGATTTTGGGTGTGTTACCCGAGGGGCAGAGGATGAGCCGGCACGGTTGGCCATGGAGAGAGATTAACAAAGGATTTTGGAGAGAGGCTCTAGTGTGTATCTCAGAATTGGGAAGCGGTGGAGAAATAACGACAAAGAATCGCCGTTTATGTATTCGTCAAAGGCCTGGGTCAGCATTCAGAATCGATGTGGTTTTATGCATCACAAATCACTGTTCTACCTGTCGAAATTTTAGGATTTTCGGCACAATTGTCTCTCCAAACATGTGATTGTTTAGCAAATTGCCCTTAAATTTTTAAGTTTGATAGTCAACTCAGTGTATTTATGAAATTGTTGTAATGTGTTTTTGCTTAAATTTTTATTATATTTAAAGAATTGAAAGGTGAGGAGCTGAAAATTTTGTGTTACATTTGAGTTGAGATTTTAAAATTTTTCGTTAAATGTATGTTCTCAACACTAAAAAATTTACGTTTAGTATGGGGTAATATTTTGATGATAATGGAAATCTTCTCATATTTTCACGTTTGGTATAAAAATTGTAATTTTTACATTCTCGAGAAAGTACATCTCATAGGATTAGTTTTACATCAGATAGAAAAAAAAGTAATGCAGCGACATCTCTTTTTATTTGAATATGTTGAAAACAAACGGATAAAATTTATGGGTGCGTTTGGAATTGGTTCCAAAACGTTTTTGTTTTCTGTACGAAAATGAAAACGTTTTTATTTTCATTTTTGAATTAGTTCTGAAAATGCGTTTGGTAGTTTTATTTAGAGATTGATTTTAGTTTTAAAAAAAAAAATTGACACTGCGTTTAGTGATTTCATTTTTAAAAACATGTAATAGTATTTAATATATTAAATAAATAAT